GGGAAGCTGAGAGACATTGAACTCATCTGCCAGGAGAACGAAAACAACCCAGTTTTGAGCAAAATCATGGACATCCTGTATGCTACAGAGGTAAATACAGGCCAAAATGTTTACTTACATTCAGAAATTACAGCACAGACCAGGAATTTGGGGGGGGGTGGACTGGTCTCAGGCTTTCATAAAATATCTTGAGATATTACAAGAAATCAGACGATATGTTTGTTGGTTGTTAGAACATTTATTTCCCACAGTATTCAGATTAATTCCTTATCCCCTGACTTTACCGAAGGCATCACATATTTATGTCATCTGCAGGCTGGTGAACATTTGAATAGTCAAATGTTCACCAGCCTGCGTTCAGAGTTACATGCTCCACACTGCTTGCAGTCATGCACATGTTTTCAGGTAATGAGCCAGTTATAATTCTTTGAATTCCTGATTATGGAATTTTAAACATTTTAGGCTGATCTGAGCCATAAGCAATGTCCAGTTTGTTTATCTTGTTTGATCACTGTGACACGGTTCATTTGGATTCAGGCATGTGCTACAATGCTAACAGTGGCTGAGCATAGACCTTTGACACATCTGAAACTACAGCTGCTTCTATGACATAATAATAGTAAGACACAAGAGAGGACAGCTTGTCACTGCTTCCAAAAATGGCTCTAATTAAACCACAAGATGCATAAAATCACAGACCTTCTGTGTTCTCTGTGAGTGCTTTTCAAGCACTCCCCAAAGCTAGCAAGTGTGAGGCAGAAGGGGTGAGGTGCTGGGACAAACTCAACAGTACTCTGGTACTCTTTGTTAGGTGCATTATGAGTGGAGACCAGCAAGGGAGTTGAGGTGGGTGATGGTTGTACTTTCCATGGTACAAGACCCATGCCAGAAAGATTCAAAAATGAATTATACATTTATTTAAAGTGTGTTTGTAATATTACGAGGAAAATCCCATATTCCAGCTGTTACTGAGAACCTGCCGTACGTATCTCATGATTATTCTTTGATATGGCTGCATTTTACTCTTTTCTGTAATCCATCACAGCATTTTGCAGCCTTTACCTAAATCTGGTTAGATTACCACAAAATTAGAAATCAGCCTGTCAGTAAAGCAATAAAGCACCTCGGTGAGGTACAGAGACATCTGAGTGAACAGCTGTGTGTTTTAACGTATTGCTGCAAGGAGGAAATCTTTAAAAATACTGAGATTATGAACAAATGTAGCAAAAAACTTATGAAAGATGACCTGCAGCTGGTAAAGCCTGAAACACTGATCTTATCTTTTCCAGGAGGGATTTGCACCACCAGAAGATGATGAAATTGATGAAGGAGCACGAGGAGAACACGAGGAGTACTGAAATCTTCCTCTCCTCTTTATCACCATCACCACTCCTCCACCTCCCTTCCTTTAATCTGACCTTAATTGCCATCTTTGCCCCTTTTTGTTTTCCCTCTAATTAGTTCACATTTTACAAACTCCCCTTACTTCGCCTGTCTTGTCCACGGCTGTCCATCACACAACATGTTTGTTGTACAGCCTCACTTCCTTTCCAAACTCTTACTAGTAAAGGACGCTTAACCCGGACCGGTCTGGACTCGGACCCAGCAGCCTGGCTTGGCTTACTCGATTTGTTCTAACCTGATGGGACAACTGTACTGCGGGGCTTCTCATCCTGCTGGTGTGTCGCAGGTTTATAGTTAACAGCAGTGAGATGACAAACCGCTCTGGAGTGCTATGAATCTGTCTGACGAGTCAGGTCACTTTCTCCCATCATGCACTCTGATTGACCACACACAGACACACATATTGATCAGGGTTCTCTGCAAAGTTTATACATGAAACCACACAATGTTTTCCAAATAATGTGATCAGCTTTAGAAGATTTTGGCTGGAAGTGGCTCAAAGTGAGATTATAAAAAGGCGTTAAGCCTATCCAGAGAGCAGCATGCATGCTGCACACGATGACACATGTGAACGTTTAGCCCACAGACATATCACAGACTCTGAAATGCTCACGTGTACGTCGTAAAAAAGTAATCATTCTGAGGTGAAGCATCACAGATATGTTTTTATTCATTAAGTCGTCCCAGCACAGAGGGTTTGCTCATGAAACTGTCCAGACAGCTTGTTTAGGAGCCATTAGATGTATTTATGTTTTTATTTATTTATATTTTTTAATCTGCTCTAAACAGTTTCTGAAAAAACACAAGATGGGGTTTGTAGAAACTGAAGGTCTTGCACTAAATGTAGCAAAAAAAAGCTGACTGACATGATCCAAAATGCCAACATGCAGTGACTGGCTACAGCCAGAACAACACAGAAAGATGCAATTTTATATTTTGTAGATTTGTTGAAAAAGACTTGTTTGTTTTGTTTCCTTTGCATTGAATTCTTCAGTGGCCAAGTCAGAGGCATAAGTTTAAACTTGTTTAAATATCAGGCTTTGAATTCTATCAATGAACAAATGTAAAAAAGAAGACTATAGAGGACACTACTAAATACTAATGTTTGACCGTTTTAATTGAGTTAAACATTTTAGCTGCTATCACTACTCTTCTGTTGTTGTATTTAATTGAATTTTCATAAGTCGCATAGCGTTAACACACCACAATGGCTGCCATGGAACTAAAGGTTTGTTTTTTGTGATTGACAGCCAGGCTGAGTGTGATTGCCATTAGTTGGATCAGTCTGAGAGAAGAGAACATCAGACCCTCTCTCACCTTGCCATGGCAGCTGTGTGATAAACTTGCATCATTTGGACTTACTGCTGGAATGAAATAAAGCTATGAGTTTCAAGAAAAGTAACAGACCTCATCACTGTGTGCTGTCTGCTGCCATGTTTTTTACAGAGATATAGACTTTATTTAATCCCACACTGGAGAAATTTCCTTGTTACAGCAGTACAAGGGACATGAAGAAAAGGTAAATTAGAGACATAATAGAAAAAAACAAAAATAGAAAAAAATAAATAAGAAAAATAGTAAACAAAATAGCCACAATACTGTACTATGCACACATGGTTACTATATACAGTAAAATACACCAAGATTTTACTTTTTTATATGTGCATAAAGCGCAGTAGGAATGATAACAATATACATGCATTTTTAAACAGTATTTCTCCTGTCTGGGTATGGTACAGCCTGACTGCTGTCGGGATGAAGGACCTGTGCAGGATCAGTCCTACACCGTGGCTGATGTTAAGATGTTAAGTATACTACTCAGAGACACCACAGTCTCATGTAGTTCCTGTTTTTTATTCATTAGGAGCAGCCTTTTCTATTTACATCATTTTTGCTTATGCAAATCAGCAGCATACTAATCACATCACACACACAACAGTCAGGCCCAGCACATGTTTGCTAAATGTTGCCTCTATGCACCTCCGTAGAAGTCAAGCAGTCAATTGCATTGATATCTCTTTGGACCTCATATTGAAAGTTACAGTGAAAAGTTCAACAGTTTGAATCAACTCCAGATCTTTTATCGGCGTAATTTGAGATGAAATAATGAGGGAACGACCTCCTCAAATATTTACAGGCTCACATACTGGACATAGTTCTACAACAATGCATAGGTCTGCCACTAGGTTGCCAAGAAAGCTTTCACACATGGAACAATATTTATGAATCAGTAGTGAGATGTTTTACGACCTACAAAAGAGCAAGACACACTGAGACGTCCACTCAGTTCCAGGATTATGCTTCCACTTACAGTGAGTGGAGGAGGCTGCTGAGGGATTTGGGAGGTTTGTGCCAAACACTAAGCGACGCTGCAGGATGTACTCGACCGTCTGCTCCACAGAGATGGCAACCAGACAGAAAACTGCAGCATGCTGATGGTTTAATTGGACCTGGCAGTTATCAGTGATGATAGCATAGAGGATGAGATAATGATAATGAACTTTTCACAGGCAAATGGAAATGAGCTGAATGTTTTTATTCAAAGCTGAGCAGTAGAGTACCTGATGTTCAGCTGTCTGTTCACAAAATAGAAAATAAGCCTTTGAATTTTACCTGTTTGCTGAGCCAGGAATGGTTAATGATGGACAGAGGCAGTGATTCAAACATCAGTTTGAGTGGGATTTTTTAAAGCATGCAGCTTCATGATAGAATTAGTTATGTGTCATATTTAGGATTTCAACTATTGGCATATATTATTATAATCCATATATCTTCAAAACTGCGATGACTACAAATTATTTGTTTACAAATTATTTGTTTTGTCAATTATGATCCAAAACAGATAATTGTAACACTTGAAGGTAGAACCAGTGAGTTGGGCTAAATCTAGAATATCTGATGCTCTAAATATGCTTAGAGATCATTTTCACAATTAGGTAATTATTGGTTAATGAAATGACATTAAATGCCTAATATTGTCTGACTACTAAAATAAGGTAAAATAACAAAATTATAAGTTGTATGGGTGAGAGGTATGAAAGAGGTGCGGTAGAGATTGTGACCGGAAAAAGAAAAGGTACATAGGTGGGAGAGTGGAAATTGTGGACAAAGGATGTTGGAATTAGAGCTCTCGGGCAGGATTAAAAGAGGACCACTGTACTCTATAGAATCTAAAATGGCTCAATAATAATTAATATAGTATGGCATAACAAAATAGATAAGAGATAACCCCAAGGATATTAATTTTGGTATTAAGTTAAAAAGTATTGAAATGTAAGTTTTGCGCGAATTTTTATTTTATTTTTTTGAAAATTTCAAAACAGTTATCAAAAAGCAGTTGCTGTTTATTTTACAATAGATTTTTTAAAATGTATATTATTTTTTTTAAAACCAAACTCATATTATTTTTGCATTTAGTTGTGTTTAAAATGAATCGGGGTCGTCTATGATTCCGTCTTGAAGACGCGTTTAATAAATTCCTTATAACGTGTTTAAACTTGTTCCGTTCGGCTACGAACACGAAAGTTAACGGTCCAAACGCATCACTCTGACGTCAAGCCGACATAGAGACGTGGCATGCGGACGGTTAAACGCTCAGAGCAGTTTACGCAACGTCCTCTCGTTCATTCAGCAGAAGGGAGGAAGGAGGCAGGAAGTCACGGTACCCGAACTAATAACAGCCCATCTGGACCCGGAGACATGGCTTCAAATAACGGCTCGGTCGGAAAATGGGAGGTGGTGAAGAAAGGCAAGAAAAATAGCAACAACTCCGGCGGAGGAGGCAAGATAGCGGCCGACAAGAAAGCCAGCGGAGGAAGGAAAGCCCTGGGCGAATCTAACCAGCCGTCCAGACGTAAGTGAACACGGCCCACTGCTAGCTGCTGAAGCTCAACTTCACACAGCATTACTTCCTGGTATTAATTTTATCTCACACCGTTTGCGGTTTTACCAGCTCACCTCTGAGTGGCTCTACCTTAAGTCCGTGTGTCGGCGTGAATTTTAAACTACTAGCTGAGCGGCCTTTGTGCTTCGTGCGGCTAGTTAGCTCGTTAGCAGTGTCAACAAAGTGAACGTCAGCACTGAGAGAGTCTGTCAGCATGTGCGAGACGTTTTTTGACCTTTGACCTCCCTTCAGCTGCTCTTTCAAACGAGCCTGAAGGTGTTTTTGTCATTTTGGAGCTGATCGGTATGACGTTAAGCAGCATTAGTTTGTTTTTACATCGCCTACAGTGATGGCTGTCATTGCTCTGGGGGTAAATATTTAACAACGTGGCCATTTAAATCTTATGCTACACGTTTAGCCATGGTTTTACTTCAGCTTTATGCCTCATAAACAGTTATCACAGCTATTATCATCGTTTATATAAATAGATTAAACTCGTTACTCTATTTTGTTATTACTTTACGTTTCTGACTTTATTTTCTTACTTATTTAGAAGGACTCCTATTAGTAACAATACAACTTACTGTTCCTGTTTACCTATAATCCTCGAGGTGATCAGTGTCCGAGTTATATTTTTGTTTGAGCCTTCTGGTGTAAAGGGCAAGTTTTTATAAATCAGAAGATGTAGGATACTTTTATGAGTGACACTCCAGCTGTCACTTACGCTTTTCTTTCCTCTCTTTAAATTGTTGTCATGCACTTTTAATATGTTTCAATCAGAAATAAGGGTCTGAGTACTCCTAAGTGCACTACATATGGTACACTGTTGTTTAGCTTGTGTCTTGGTGTTCTGTCCTTGGGATGAACCGGTCTTTGAAAGTGATGCTGGATCTGAAGTGCATTGGGATGCTATGCTTAGAGAAAATGCTTGTTCTTCTTTACTTTGAACTGCATACGTTGTTTCTACAGTAGATGATAACCACAGTGAAATCAAATAATATAAATAATATAAATAGCTAATTTTGATTTTTAAAAATGTTTTTCTGCTAACAACTTTTTATCAAGTAAAGTTTACTCAGGTCTTCTGATCAAACATGGAGTGAAGATTCTATTGACATTCCTCACATGAATAAAGTCACTGGAGTGTTGGATCTCAAACTTGTCCTCCTTTTATTACTATCAGTGGCAGTAGGAGAATTCTCATTGTTAAACAGAAATGTAAAAGTTGGAATAATGTGCTAAACTCAGTAGTTTGATTTACACCTTTAAAAATTGGAAAATGAAACCTAATTCGGTAACGTGCTATGACAAGTTTAGACGTGCAGTTAGGTGATATTAATACTGAATTACCAGCAGATTCAATCTACCACATTGCTGAAACATTATGTCAACCTAATGATGTTTTGTTTTTACTGAGTATGAAGCCCATACTGAAGCTGGAGCTCCTAATCTACTTATTCATTTTTTCTGGCATGTTTTAAGAACCAGAATTAATTTGTTTTATCAAATCTTATGTACCAAACAAACCCTGCTGTTACCTCTGTTTAGAGTCCCGCCCGGTGTCTCCTACTATGTCAAAGACTGTCAAACACAATAGTTACCTTTATCTGTGTTAGAAATGACTCTTCACAAGGTCAACATATTATTTACTGACCTCTGATCAATTTCTACCCTCAAATTGACCAAAATACTTTCTGTTCACTAAATCTAGCAATAGCAGCTTGAAGAGGCTTCACTGAGTCTTTTGATTTTTGGATAATCATCACAAAATGATTATATCTCACTTTGCTGGAGCTGTTTGTTTCTGCTTCATTTTTATCACTGAATCTTACTGTCCAAAGTCTGATCACTGTGGCTGATTCAGTGGGGAAGTGGTGTAAAGCTTTAGTCTAAAGCTTATAAGAAATAAACCTGATCTGTTTAGTAAATGAACTCTCTAACACTTTATGTGAATCATTTTATTAACACAAACAACATAATCACACATTCAGAAAGATATTTTGCCAAATCTCAGTTTGTTTCTTAAAGGCTTTCATCAGGACTTGATCATGAGGCTGTTACTTTTAGGTCTGTGGTTTTGACACATAAAACTGGAGGATTTTTTTTTTTTTTTAAACTTTAGCCTGGAGGGATTATGTATGTGGTTGAGCAAGAAAAGTGTTGCAGCAAAATCAGGCATTATGTAAGTGTTCAACAGATAAGAGCGTGAAGCTTGGATCACAGAGAAGAGTGGTAAATGTCTCTGCCTTTGCTGTTTGCATTATTTAAAAAGCCCATTAAATCAGTGATGTTTATGATTGTGCGTACCTGGCCAGGGACTGCAGATGGGAATTAGCTAGTAGATAAATCTGGTACAAGACATCTTTTCTCTTATGAGGTCAGTGTTTTGGTCCCTGACAAATAAAGAACTGCTTGTATGATAACCATGTTTGACTTTTTGTTCACACATGTCAAAACATGTGAGAACAACAAAGCTTGAATTTAAGGAAGCTTAAAAACATCATCTCAGCTATTATTGGCTTTTAGTTGCCCGTGGATTAGGGCAGTAAAATTTGTTCTTTTTCGTATTTTCTCTTGATAGAAACTATAATCTGAAAGCTGTCACACGTTAATGATTTCTGCTAATATGCTTCTTGTAGTAAATTACACCAAAATGATCCCAAAAACTGTTGTTTCTTTGAGGTGGTTTTAAATAGTTTCATAAAACTGAGATTAAAAATCTACTATTGAAATGACTAG